ACTAGAACATGGATCAAGATCCAAGTTCTAAAGACAAGAACCATGAACCTTAGTACTAAAGCCTTTAGATCAGAACCAAGACTAAGACCTCAAAATCCAAGAACTAAGGTTCGTAGATTAGATCACGACAAGAACTCATAACTCAAGAACATAACCTAAGGGCTTAAGTACATGCAACAAAACAAGTTAACAAGGAGTGTGATACCCGGGCATAACAAGCACATAATTAAGAACTACTTACTGAGTCTTTGTACTCACTCTATGTTTTTCATGTTTTTCTAGTAAATAAGGAGTTGGTCGAGGTCGAGAGTGGACTTTGGAGCAAGTGCCATAGACAAGTTATTTATTTTACAGTTTGGTTTTCGAAGCCTCAAAAATCATGTCATGACACGACACCTTCACTCACTTTCCTCGAGCTGTTTGTGAGCGTGAATGCTATCCCTATAGATGATCCACACAAGTTTTTCAATTGGATTCGACCTCGTGAACATAATTTCTAAGAAAATTTTCAAAACTATTGCATAACACAAGATTATTCCAAACCAAACCAAACATGTATAGTGGAAGAGTAGCTAGGGTTCTTTGGTTTGATCCATAAAGCAAACAAGAGGTGGAGGAAGAGGGTTTGGGTGAGATAGGGGGTGACCACTTACTACCTACCCGGAAGAAGTTTAAATAATACACTACTGAATTGAGTCCTAAATTTAATACCCACAACTGCACCATCCTGCTGCACGTTAACCCCCTACAACAACTGGAACCCCATTGGGGGGTTATGTACGATATGTGGTTCCCCCAATCTTCAATTTTGATAGAGACAACTCCATAAAAAACCCTAAACGTGTATACATTTCTGCCTAATTCTATGCCCTCGCCATGTGGGTTATTTATGTGCATAAGATGCTTATCGTTCTACCTTTGACTTGGCATTCGAAATCAAGAAATGAACGAACTTTTTAGCCAAGAAAAATTAAGGTCGTTGGTAGCTACGAGTAGCTGAGTAAGCCTCAGTTCATACAATATGCTTCTCGATTTTTGGTAGTCACGAACGCAGTGAAACATATATGAAATAGCTAACAAATTCTATCTATACCACCGACATTGAATGGTTAATTAACCGTTACTATCACTCAAAGGTTAATAAACTTTTGAACTTAATAACAACTTTTTACCTACAATAAGCTTTCTTGTAGAAATTAATTTTTAGGGTATTAATTAGTAAGATGGGAGGGGGGTAGTGCTTTTGAAAATCATATCCTTATTATATTATTTTTAGTTATAAAGTATTTGGCGGAATAGGCAACCAGTTATGATGAGCGATTATTATAATAAAACATGAAATTAAAAAAGATAATCCGATTTTTATTTATTAAATCCCAAATGCAATTTTCCAAAATTGGACATTGCTTAGCCCAATAATGATTGAATCTAACAACACCTACAAAATTAATACTTTCTCTTCAACGTACGGACACATTTATGATTTAATATTTAATTTCACTAATCTTTAAATTAAGAATTAAATACAAATCAAGACGGGATCCAGTAACAGTAAATAATTTTTTTATTATTTTTTAAACGATAATGATGGAGTTAAAAAATAACATAACAATTATCATAATTTTGTGAGATAAAAAAATTATTTTATAAGAACAAGGCGGAGGGCTAAATCATCAATAATTAAAGAAAAAAAAAGATTCTCCCATCCAACTTTTTTTTTAGTTAATAATTAAGGAAAGGAAAAATGTTGGTTGGATTATTTTAAGGATTGATGATTCTCCAACCCTTTTTCATCGCTAAAATAGGAAAGTTTTTTTTTTATTTTTATTATTATTATAATTAATTGCATCGATATTGGGACTAACTCGATTAGTTGACCTAATCCGACCATTATTTCCACTTTTGGAAATTTAATTAAGAATAAAAGGTACGAAATTAGAGTATATTATAATACTCTTTTACTTTAATTAGTATTAATGAAACAGTATTTTATATTATTTGGTACATAAATATAAATATATAATTTGCACATGGGTCAGCTGGAAATGCCACCCCACTAAACATCATTTAGATCCAAACTTATTTAATAGCGATAAAGTCTAAAAATGATAATAGGTATGGTTGCTACAAAATTTCCAAAATTAGAAAATAAATTTATAAGGAAGAAACAGAGAAGGAAGGGTAATAAAGTAAATGACTCGATGAATAATGGAATAAAGATGCCCCTATATGAGCTATAGCCTTTCCCTTGTCTCTTACAAATTATATATATATATATAATTATTTGAAATCTAAAAAACAAGAGGCGATAATAATAGTAGAATATTATTTATGGTTCGAGTATGGAAATTACGAAAATGGGTATAAGGAAGTAAAAAACAAAAAAGAAAAGCATATGGGATGTAATATAATGGATTCATGTGTGTGCTTGTGTGTAGACATAAAATAGACCCATCAATGTAAATAAATATATAAAGAAATTAAATTATTAATTTTTAAAAAATGGAAACATGAATTTACTCCATTTGAACAAAGGGGGCGCAGAAACACTTAAATTAAAAGGGACCCATTTTTCAGTGCACGGAGCTTTATTGGGAAATATGTCGTGTCCGTACAAACAGTACCCTCCTCACTTTTTTTTATTTTTTATTTTTTTATTACTAAAATTGACGCTTATTATTTGTGACATGACTACGTTATATACTTATTTTCAAGTATTTTTAAATATGAAATTTATTTTCATACACTACCGTGAGTCGTTTCTACATTTTTTTTCTTCTTTATTTCATTAGAAATTGTTACCCAAATCAACACTCACCGACTTTAAAATATTTTAGGTTGGGTGATTTCTTAATTCTGTTTTTTCGGAATATATGTGAGGTAGAAAAAAAAATAAATGTATATACAATATTTAAAATTATATTGGTAGCTAGCTTGGTTGGAGCATTTATTTTTGTTAGATTTTTGAGGTTTTGATGCAAGCTTTGAATTCTATTTTATTTAGATATTTTATGTTCAATCTAGATATTTTAGTGGCCGGGTAAAGATTTGAATTTTTCAACTAAATGAATAAACATTGAGTTTGTCACGATAATATTATATGACTTAGTTTTTATAGTTTGTCACGTGATCATGTGACTTTCCATACCCAAGATTCGAACAATAATTTGCCTTCATTGACATATTTCTAAAAAAAAAAATTTAGAAGATCTTAAACATAAAATTACTCCAAGCTAAACACAAGACATAGTTGAAAGAACACATGTTGGTCGGTGAGAATAATCTCCAGTTCTAGAAACAATTCAAGACAAATATGTAACATGATCATATCGAAGGAAATACAGGAGAATAATTCCAACACGTGTAACGATGCTAAACTCAGTTAAAACTTAGACAGCCAAGAGTTTGTTCATGTTCATGTAAGGAATCGGACGAGTTTGGGTTCATAATTATTGGAGTTGAAATCAAGAAGATGTGCTGTGTGATGAGAAATGTTGTTAGCATAAGGACAAAAGGGGTTACAATTTGCAGCCTCAATCCATTATGGAACATTTTCACGTGGAAGATGACAAATCAAAACCAAGAACATAATTGGAAGGAGATGACAAATGGCAAATTTTGGGAAAGATATTTGATGGAATGTGACAGCTTTGGAGCCGAGTTGCATTAACTGCAGCAGTAGCAGTAGCAGCAGCAGCAGCAGCAGCACCAGTATGGTCTCCAATAATTTACATATATAACACAAACCCTTCTTCAACCTTCCAATTCTCTAACCTTACTTAGAAATATCCATTAACTTTTCATCGGAATAAACACCAAAAACCCCACACTGCAACACAATCATATAATAAAGTGATTTAGAGGACATGAAAATGTGGATTTTTATTAAAGAGAAGAAATTATTAGGAGTAGCTCCATAATCCATCCCCTGGAGAATTTGTGGGAGAGTCATCGGAAGACAGCGACTTGATCCGGGGTGGACTCACCAGCATTCCCTCAGCCATGTCCACCAGTAAATTGGGCATGTTCAGTAGCTCTTCCTCGTCCACGAACTCCCCGGCAGAAGCTGCGGCGGCGGCGGCCGTAGCGTCAGAGGAAAACCCAGCCCCACCAACAGGGCGGGTATGTGCAGCAGGAGCAGGAGCAGGAGCAGTGTAGGGGTGTCTGGCAGCAGCGGCAAGAGCAGCAGCGGCGCGGATATCAGAAGGGGAAGTGGAGGAAGGAATGTGATAGGATAAGAGAGAGTCTGGGAAATTAAGAGAAGCATCAGGGCCTTTAAGGGCGAGGGCAGCCACGTCGTAGGCGGCTGCAGCCATGTCAGGAGTAGGGTAGGTACCAAGCCAAATGCGAGTGGTCTGTCGAGGCTGGCGGATTTCAGAGACCCATTTGCCACTTCGGCTGCGGACTCCACGGAACTTGGGGTGGCGATTAGAAGAAGAAGAAGAAGAAGAAGAAGAAGATTGAGTATCGTCAGACATGAAAGAATCAGAATCAGAATCAAACTCAGAAGCAGATGCAATGAAATGGGGAAAAAACAGAGAAGAGTTTATAAAGGAAAAGGGGAAGAGCTGTAAAAGCCGTGGGGAATTCGTGGACAACATTCCCAGAGCTTTGAGTGAGAAGCCACACGCATTTTTTAAACCTAAATCAAATAAACTTTCATGTTTTTTGGTGATGATTAATTTGGGACATTCATGCTTCCCACTACCCATTTCATCTTTTAGTATTAAACCTTACCCATCATTGCGTACATTTATTTGATTTCTTACCCTGCTTCTAATCTAATACGCCATTCAAACTTGTTATTGTTCTTCAATATCCTATCTTTGTTTATGTTGATAGCTTAAATCGTGAGTAAAAGTCTTGTCCAAACACGGGTTTGAAACCAAAATGGAGAATTTAATAAGAAAAGAAAGAGGAGAGAGGGATTTGAAATTGCTTGCATTTGAGTCCACAAAATATAAATCCAGGTCATTTCAGTGGCACTGCTGCACAAGTAGGGCACTGAATCAATATCAAAGTAGGGCACCATTCTTTTTCTTTTTTCGTTGGTCAAATCACCATGACCCCAACTGCCAAATCAATTTGTTATCCTAAAAAACTTACCCCAAATCTCTATGGCCGTTAAAGCTCCCTTCTTTTTCTTATCTTCTTCATCCATGGAGGCTCTCAAATCCACGGCTATTCCCATTTTCAGGCCCTACCCAGTTTCAATCCCGACTAAATCTATCAAACCCACCAAGGTTTCCATTAGGCCGCCTCCATCGGACTTCGATTTCCGAGTTGAACTTTCTCGGGATTCCAGAGCCGCCATTGCTGAAGCTCACCCCGAGTTGCTTGATTTGGTTGACGATGGCACGTTGGTTTTGGTCGAGAAGAGGAGATTCGGCCCTGTCCCTGCTTGGAGAGCCGAATTTGTGGAGCCGGAAGCGATATGGTTGGTCGCAACTTCGCATATTTCGCCCAAATCGGTTAAGGATGTCGAGCGAGTGGTTCGAGCAGTGAAGCCCGATAATGTGGTCGTCGAACTTTGCCGGAGCAGGCAAGTTTGATTTTCAATTTGGGGTTTTTTGTCAGTAATTCAATATGCAAATCAAGCAAAGTAGTCTACATTGTTCTGAATTAAACGAGAATTTATCACCATTCTTGTTCTGTATTTTCTTTCATTTACCAATTAAAAAGAATCAACATATCTGATCTGTTGAATTATTGCTTTGCTTTAAAAGAATGAACATCTTAAAACGATTCCAGACATTTGTTCCAGAGCTGGAATCATGTATACGTTAGAAACTGGTGAGCCACACCAAAAACTAAAGTCCAACATGTTCTCCTTGAGTGGAGATGGTTTCTTGGGTGCTGTTGGTCGCAGCATAAACCTAGGTGAGGCTAACATTTTGTTTGTTTTTTTTTTGTTGGTTTTTGGCATATAAGCTGTCTAAAACTTGTCAATAATTCTTCAGGAGGCCAGACAGCTCTTGCTTTGCGCCTGCTTTTAGCTGCTTTTTCCTCCAAAATTTCTTCAGATGTCAACCGTCCTTTTGGCAGTGAGGTAACAGATCTTCAATTAACCAAGTAATGTTTAGACTAAGTTCATGTTCATGAAACTCTAATCAATCATGCAGTTTCGGGCTGCTCGTAAAGCATCTGAAGAAGTTGGTGCTCAAATAGTTTTAGGGGATCGGCCAATTGAAATAACTGTATGTGTTTCATTCCTGCAAGATGACACAATTTCTTGCTTTTCCAACTGCCACAAACCAGTAATGTTTTGCCCTCTCACTCGCTTCAATTTGATCTGTTGATTGTGCAGCTAGAAAGGGCATGGAACGCTTTGACATGGAACGAGAAGTTGAGCTTAGTAAGCTCAGTTATCCGTGGAATAACTTCACAATCTAATGTTTCTCAGAGCAATGATGAGGTTCTTTCCCACTTGAAATCTTTTACTCCACTTCTCAGCTTTAAATGATACATATTTTAGAAGTGATTCAGCCTTAATATATGGTTGCAAGATGGGAAGAAAACTTCTGTTCATAACTATGGCTTCCTAAGTTTTGAATAGTAGACCGGTTGAGCTAGGAACTGGAGTCGGATGCAAAAGAAATGCATAGACTGGCTTACATACCATATCAGGAACATCCGACATAGATTTAAACATGTCTTTCTAAGGAGTTGAATCTATGCTTTAAACATAGAGATCTGTATAATTAGGCAATTCCTGTTACTATTTTCTTTTTTCTCATTTGGTCGTTTTCACCGATGTTCTTGTTTCTTCTGTATGATCGCTTCTTTTACTTAGGATCTTGTTTATTAATGTGAGATCTCACATCGATTAGAGAGAGGAACAAGTGTTAGCGAAGACGCTGGACCCTGAAGGGGGTGGATTGTGAGATCCCACGTCGATTGGAGAGAGAAGTGAGTGTCAGCGAGAACGCTGGGCCCCGAAGGGGGTGGATCGTGAGATTTCACATCAGTTGGAGAGGGGAACGAAGCATTCTTTACAAGGGTGTTGAAATCTCTCCCCTCCCTAACGCGTTTTAAAAGCCTTGAGGAGAAACCCGAAAGGGAAAACCCAAAGATGACGATATCTATTAGCTGTGTGCTTGAGTTGTTACAAATGGTATCAGAGTCAGACACCGGGCGATGTGCCAACGAGGACGCTGGTTCTCGAAGAGGGGTGAATTGTGAGATCCCACATCGATTGGAGAGAGGAATGAAACATTCTTTATAAGACTGTTGAAACTTCTCCCTAGCAAACCGGTTTTAGAAACCTTGAGGGGAAAGTCTAAAGAGGACAATATCTATTAGCATTGGGCTTGGGCTGTTATAAATGGTATCAGAGCCGGACACCAGGCGGTATGCTAAGCGAGGACATTGAGCCCTGAAGGGAGGTGGATTGTGAGATCCCACATCGATTGGATAGGGAAATGAAGTATTCTTTATAAGGGTGTTGAAACCTCTCTCTAGCAGACACATGAACCATTACAATTAACATCACAAAAACTATAAGCATACATCCTTCTTTTTCTTGAAGTTCGAATCTAGGTGCATGAATCATCATATCCTTCGTTTTGTGAATGTGCTTTTCAGGAAGCAGGTAGAGATGGGAGTTCCTTGCAGCTGTATGAGCAGCTCAGTTTTTCATATCCATCTCTTCTTCAACCTCTTATTCATGAACGAGACACTGTAAGTATAATCACATAATGCATTTGGCAGCTCTTACTTCTTACCTCTGTAAAGTTGTTAATAGCTGCATTTTCAGTACATTGCATGGTCTCTAAAGCGAAGCAAGGCGGTGAACAAGAGTAAAAGGGTGGTGGGGGTGATTGGAAGAGGCCATATGAACGGCGTCATCTATGCCATCATATCAGATCAAGGAAACTTGCGATTTCGAGACGTTGCAGGTAAGAGAGCTGGGGAAACCTCCAATGGCTTTGTTAGCAGTCTGTTGCAGAGCTTGGTTAGAGACACTATCATTGGTGTTCTCTTCTGGGTTTTATATGAACAATTGAAACAACTACATTTAGTGCCTTAGCTGATCATCTTTCCAAACCATACCTTTGTAGAAAATCAATCCAAAAGTATACCATTCAAAACTTACATGTAAAGAGATGATTTGATCCTTATGTGTATTAGTCCATTTTTCAATATATCATTTGAAAATTGATCTAAATCCATCCCCTTGGGGTCAGTGTTCTCGTTGACACACGGCTCTGAGATCATTTGTAATAGCTCAGTTCCACCACTAATAGATATTGTCCACTTTGGCCTGTTACAGATCTCGCCATCCGTCTCACGATTTTAAAACGCGTCTGTTAGGGAGAAGTTTCCAGACCCAATGTGGGATCTCACACTATGATATGCTTATTCTTTTTCAATACATTCTCAAATCCACGTCACAAGTGAACAAACCGTTGAGAATCTAAGATCTCTTATCAAGTTTAATCATTTCAATGTATATTCGAAATAAGAAAGATTGGAATCAAAGATAAAAAAATTTGAAATCAAGTTGACAAGTTTATTAGTAATTAGGTCATGGTTTGTTCTATACTTAGTTAAGAGATTAATTAGATGCATGCATGTGGAAATGGTATTTATTTGGAACCTTAACGCACATTACATGGATTTAATTAAATGTGACCAAAGAATATAAAGCCCAAGATATGAATAAATGAAATATCTCGAATCTTTTATAAATGGAACTCCAAGTGGGAGCCTCACATCTTTGGTAAGCTACATTAAATATAAACTTTAGTCTTAGATTCTTTTACATAACAAAAACATTCAGCGATGACTACAAACTTCATAACATTCATTATCATCCTCTTCATGATTTGAAAGTTCTGGGTCGAGATTTGAAGGATGGGTGAAGTTTGTGAAGGAGTAAAGTTCGTGGATATTCATGTCTTGTTGGTGGATGATGATGCTACCTCTCTAGCCGTGGTGTCCACCATGCTTAGAGTTTGCAAATGCCAAGGTTGATATGAACAAAATGAATTTAGATTTTGTAGCTAAGATTTTGATATAACATGTTTTGTTATGTTTTCAGTTGTGACGCTCAAGAATCCAATGGAAGCACTTGATACTCTTAGGGCAAGAAAAGGGTTCTTTGATCTTCTTGTCACTGATCTTCACATGCCTCAATTGAGTGGCCTTCAATTACAGAAGCAAGTAATGCAGGAATTCAAGCTTTCCGTTATCAGTAAGTATATCTACGATGAATAGAAATGTTAGGAATAACAATTCTCCACTATGATATCATATTGTCCACTTTGAGCATAAGCTCTCGTAACTCTGCCTTTGGGCTTCTCCAAAAGGCCTCATGCCAATGGAGATGTATGTTGAGGAGGGAATGATCATATATATAGGTTTATAAGTAAGGAATACATCTTCATTGGATAAGGCCTTTTGGAGATGGCTTCTCAAAGCAAAGACATGGGAGGTTATTGTCAAAGTGGACAATATCATGTCATTGTGGAGATCCGTGATTCCTAACATGGTATCAAAGTCATGTGTTTAACTTAGATATGTCAATAGAATCCTTAAATGTCGAACAAAGAAGTTGTGAGACTCGAAGGTGTAGTCAAAAGTGACTCAAGTGTCGAGGGCTCCAAAGGAGTCAAGCCTCGATTAAGGGGAGACTGTTCGAGGGCTCCATAGGCCTCGGCTCTATAGTGTACTTTGTTTGAGGGGAAGATTGTTGAGGATGGTTGGAAGGGAGTCCCACGTTGGCTAACTTAGGAATGGTCATGGGTTTATAAGTAAGGAATACATCTTCATTGGTACGAGATCTTTTGGAGAAGTCCAAAGCAAAGCCATGAGAGCGTATGCTCAAAGTGAACAATAACATACCATTGTGGAGAGTCGTGATTCTTAACAATGTATTCCTTACTTATAAACTCATGATCATTCTCTGAATTAGTGAAGGTGGGACCTCCCAACAATTTTCATCCCATTTAAGAGGAAATTAACCAAAAGCTTCATGTTTTTTCAGTGATGTAAGCTGATGAAAAGCCTAGTGTGATATTGAAGAGTTTAGAGGAAGGTGTTGCATTTTACATGGTAAAGCCAATAAGCCTAAATGATGTCAAACATGTATGGCAATATGCTATTACACCCAAGAAGGTTTCACCTGATCAAACAAGAACCATTATCCCACATGAACTTTCCATCCAGATTCAGAAATCTTCGTTTAAGAACTCGAGTTCTTCCCCGTCTTGTTCGAGAAGGGAAATCAAATCTAAATCTGCAGAACCCAAGAACAAGAAAGCCAAGGAAAGTAAGGTTGCTAAGAATTCCATTGGCATAAGAAAGCCAAAGGTTATTTGGACAAATTCACTTCGCAATCGCTTTCTTCAAGCCATTAAACTGATAGGGCTTGACAGTGAGTAGATCCTTCGGCCATCATTCTAATTTTAAGTTTTTCTCATCAATTAATGATTTTGTTTAAATTTTTACTTTTTATTTTGTTCAGAGGCTGTCCCAAGGAAGATCCTTGATTTCATGAATGTTCTTGGCTTGACTAGAGAAAATGTTGCCAGCCATTTACAGGTTTTTCTTTGAGCCTTTCTTATTTGGATTAGGTTGAATTGGTTCGAATTGTTTGAGTTATTAAATAATGGTTCGGCTCAATTCAAATTAAGTTTTGGAAATTTGATGAACCAATGTGATGTCCCACGTCGGTTGGGGAGGTGTGATGTCCCACATTGGTTGAGGAGGAGAACAAAACACCCTTTATAAGGGTGTGGAAACCTTCCTCTAACAGATGCGTTTCCCAAAAGGGAAAGCCCAAATAGGGCAATATCTGCTAGCGGTGAATCTGAGTCGTTATAGGAGGAGAACGAAACACTCTTTATAAGGGTGTGGAAACCTCTCCTAGTATATACTTAATGGGAAAGCCCATCTGGATCGTTATAGGAGGTGAACGAAACGCAGCCCAAATGGGAAACCTCAAAAACCTTGAGGGGAAGCGAAAGCTCAAAGAGGACAGTATCTGAATGAACACTTGTTCTACTGTGTAACTCTGAAAAACGCGTTTTAAAGCCTTCAGGGGAAGCCCACGAAGGGTCTAGGCCATTACACCCAACTCATAAAGTTTTTATAATATGTTAATAACCCAACTCAAACCATACCATACGGGTGAGTTGAGTTGATTGAGTTCTCCAAATCATTAGGTCATTAAAAGAACGTGTTGAATTAGGTATTAAAAGGGGTATATCATAATGTAACTAATGAATTAAAATTGAATTGCTTTATTTATGTATGGGTTCAGAAGTACAGAATTTTCTTGAAAAGAGTGGCAGAAAAGGGTGCTCGTTCAATAAAGATATATTGTGATAGTGTATTGCAAATATCAAATTCTGCTGCAGCTCATGTTCAATACCCATTATACAGATCAAAATTGCAAGCCCAACATCCAAATTTCCCTCAAAATCAACAATTGATGGCTCCTTTAAACAACCAATCTCCTACTTTGGGCTCCTTGAAACAACCAACCCCTCAAAACCCTAATCTTGAAGGAGCTTCCATGGAAAACCCTTTGGCCCATTTTTGGAATCAAAAGTACTCAACTCTTTTGACCATCAACAAACTTAACTTCCCTAATTTCAATGGGGATCAAAATTTCGTGTTGGTAAGAAATGAAAACCCTAAGTGTTCGAGCGATGGACCAGGAAGAACAACTGGAGAGGATCGAATGATTTGTTCGAGTCGAAATGGGGTATGCAACGTGCAAGCTTCTGATGATCTCAACAATGGGGGAAGTGCATCAGTAGGGTCATATTTTGGGCAATTTGAAGGTACAAATCAACCTTTACCAGTGGTTTCTAACATAAACGTGGAGACAAATGTGTTAGTTTCATCAGAAGAAGAGGTGGGGAATGATAATATATGGAAAGCAGCTAATGAGAGCAATGCCTTTGGTGATATTGGTGAAGACCAAAGTTATATTGATGTTCTTAGTGACATTTTCATGGGGCACAACGACACTCAAACTTCTTTACCGGTTCGTTTTCGTACATAACGATGTTCGTTCTTTTCGTCGAGAATACGGCATCTTAATTAAATGAGTTATGCTTAAATAAGTATATGAAAATTGCATTTGCATTGTTTAGAAGGATGAAATGGTTGACATGAAGGTCTCTGATCACATGAACATCTTAACAATGTATATAAGCTATAGCTTCATACTTTATTACAGCATTTATTATAGCTACAAAAAAACGATATAAAATGTCACAAGCTTTTAATAACATGGGCCGTCGAAAAACGCTATAAAAAGTTCTTGTAGTGTGATATCTGGAATAGGATTGAAAGGGATGGTTCAGCAAAGGAAGATCTCCAACCTTCAGGCCTTTCTGCTCAGGTAATTGCAACCCTAAATAATTAGTTTTAGTTGGAGAAGCCCTTTAATATTATTCTGTGAATAACTATATATATACATATATATATGGGAAGCTAAGCTGAAGTGTTGGTGTGTGTAGGGTTGGTACGATGATCTCTTAGACATCATTTTGGGAGATGGGTCTTCATCAGAGGAAGAAGTTGCTCATTTTTAGAACCAAAGAACTGGAGAGGTCTGTACACACACACCATGCATGAATCAAGATCAAAAAACTTTCTAATTGTTGTTACTTTATATTTAAGATTATCGTTAACTTTCTAATTGTTGTTATTTCTATCCTGTTGAGAATAGAAAGAAATAACGAGACTAGACTAGGGTGCTAGAGATTAATCGGACTAGACAAAGACCTAGAATAGGATACCTCTAAGAGACGGTGCATTTAGGGTCACGAAGGGTGGCCAGTGGGCTTAGCCTTAGTATTCCAAACCCTGACAGGTTTGAGAGGTCTTCCGTGAGAACGTTGAAGATGAGTGAATCCGTGTCTATTCTATCAAGACATGCCCTAAAAAACCTAGTAGAACACTCCAGTAACCATGGACAACCAAGGTAGCTCGCCAGGCTTGAGTAGTGTGAATAGTGTTACCAGATCCTCCACTTCCCTCATTGCTCTGATACCGTACCATCAAGGCTCTACTCTGATACCAAAATTGTTGAAGTAGGCTTAGCCAGATAGGGCAGTGTAATTTGTGCCCTAACTTAGTGGAGATAGTTATGGGTCTCCTAAACAAGACTTCTAAATCGTAAACTCGTCCTTGAGAAGGGGAGCGTGTGATTGCATGGGAGGGATGTCAGCTAACCTCCTCAAATGATGTTCAGAGTGCTTTATACATTTAGATCCAGTCATACTGACCCTTTAGATTTACTTGTGAGGTCACGTCTCAGCATAGCATAGAGCACTGATCATTCATTGTATAAGAAAGGTAAGTCATCTAAGTTGTAGAAAAGAAGAATTAGAAAACTGGTCAAACCCTAGGAGTAAGCTTCAGTTTAGAAACCGGCTCGGATAGTAAGGTATCCAACTGCTCAGATAGCATCGGAGCTTAGACCGCACTTTTTAGAGCTTATAATAAATCTTGTGGATACTTACTAGGTTAAGGATGCGAAAATAATCTACAAGTAGATTGCTTATTGAGTATTTTTATACTCATCCCTACTACACTTTTTTCAGGTAAATGATGTCACTTATCAAGGCAGGAGGTGTTGGGAGTCATAAAGCCACAAAGGAGTAATCCAGGGCGTCTAGGAGTCTGTTTCGTACCCCATAAACTTCTATTATGAAATTCATATACTACATGAATATTTGTTTTGATTGAAACTCTTTTTATTAAGTGCTAAAATATTCTGTAAAATCTTCTTGATTATCTCTTTTTTACGTGTTTTCATTGCATAGTCGGTTGGATTCATCCTTAATTTCAATTCTCGAAATTTTGATGACATTTAATATCACTAGAAATAAAAATTGGTAGGGGATATGATAGATGCTTCGAAATGGGAGAATCTAGTTAGAGATAGATCCAAATATATCCAAATTATGGTTTGAAGATGAGCGAGCATTTGGTCGGCAGTTTAGTGTCGGAAAGAGAAGAGGTTCTTTTTTGCTTCTTTTTCTACAAAGTTCATCACAAAAGGTGCTGTTTTTTGGATGGGCAGATAAAGACATGCTACAAAACACAACATACTAAGACATTCAATATGAATTTGACACCTCTCTATAACTACCAACTAAAATGGGAAAACAGCCTTTAAAATTGCTCACAAAAGTGACCCAGAAAGCCAAAAAAATGACACAAAATTCAAAGAAAGGCATCAACAAGATGAAGAACGATTGGTTTAAAAAAAAACCCTCTTTTAATAATCCATTATGAGTTTAATTTTAAAACTGTCTCAGTGATTTAGGTAGATGAATAAGACTAAAAATAAACTAATTTTATAGCTCTCATATATGAATAGGTGAGCTATCGACCTCTAACATGTTAATTGGTCTTGTGTTCATTTAACCGAGAGTAAACTTATAATTATTCTCGGTTGAATGGTCATGAAAATTTATACAATAGGGATGATTTAGTGGGATTTTAGCTAGAGACTCGTGCTGAGGAAAGGAATCTTTCATATTTCATCATATATTTAATTAACAAAAGATTTTCTTTTAATATGGTGGGGTTGTTGCTTCCACATATTCAAACCCTTTTTCAAGTTTTAATTCATACCATACCTAATTAATTTGCTATTAACTCTTCAAAGATTCTAATCGAGATCTAATTGAAATCTAAAGGTATACAAGTTCGACCGATTTTGAATAATGTAATAAAGTTTATTATATATTAGATCACTTTCGGCGTGTTATGTCAACATAAACTTAATTTAACCTTAAAAAACGAACCTTTTTGACATTCATAGGCATAAACATTATATTAAAGTCGTGTATATTATGAATAGTAAGTAAGTTTTAAACATTTATGGTCAAAAAAGACTATTAAGTTGCTAACAACATCATGCTGGAGACCAAATCCAAAGTTGTAAAATACTAAGAAAAATGCAATATTTGTGGCTAGTGTTCATCGTTTGAGATCATTACGTTTCAAAACACCTTGTTTTTGTTTCAATTATTCGAATCTCTTCTAAGTAAGTAATCATGTCTAAGCAAGCTTCTGATTTGCCTAACTCTATTTAATTTCAACTATAATTATTTTTCGCTTTGAATTCTATGGCTAAGATACACTAATCATAATCATAATCATAATCCAATAATCAATAAACTAATTTACTTACAAGAGATGTTTTCATTTCATAGCTGAAGGGATAAGAGATTGATGAAGATGAGGATGATAATGGATAGAGAATGCATGCCTCAAATTCAATGCATCCTCATCCTCTTACATGAATTAATTTTTTTTCTTAGAATAATTTTAAAATATGTTCAACTCATACACTTCGTTCTTATTAAATTTTAATTGATATTTAGCTTCAAAAGTATGCTCGAGACAAAGGTACCACCGAAAGAGTCACCAAATCTAAAAAGGGTTAGCGATAAAACACGAAAACGATCTCTCCAAGGATATTCCTTTTCAAAAATGGTCAAAATGGGAATGGAATGTTTGAAGCAATAAGGGTATTGATATTTGTTGGGTATATTATGTGGATGGAGATGAAGATTGGATGATGATTATTTGGACCTTTTCTCCACACGTTTTTAAGACCAAGCCGCTGTTCTTTTTGTTCTTGTTTCAAACAATTCAAGAAGTGTCAATTCATGGGAGCTTCCTCTTATGTTTCTTACTAAGCTAAGAGAGACCAATCCACTTCAAACCCTCTATCCATATCAACCTTGGTAAACCACATGACATCTCCAATATGAATCTAATTTTGTACTCTTACCTGAAATACCTATATCCTTATGATGATGTAATAACAAGGTCATAATTATAATCATATGTGTTCATTTGCATTCATATTCACCAACCTATTTCCCAACCCTTTTGGTTCATGATTCATGCAAATGATTTGGGGTTTGGATTTTCCTCCCATATGAACCAAACGCTCCCTTCTGTAACAACCAAGCTTACTGCTAATAGATATTCTCTGTTTTGACACGTTACGTTCACGCCATCAATTTCATAGTTTTAAAACGCATCTAGCAGGGAATGTTTCATTTCTCTCTCCAACTGATGTGGGATCTCATAGTTCACCCTCCTTGGGAGCCCAACGTACTTACTGGCACGCCACTCAGTGTCTGATACTATTTGTAATAGTCTAAGCTTATAGCTAGTAGATATTGTCCTCTTTGATGGTATCAAAGCCAGTCACTGAAGACCAACGAGTCAGATATATATTTTCACTAAAAGAAAGTTAGAAGTTTAACTCTTCGTGATTCGTTGAACTAAAAAAAACTTTATGCATCGAAGATACACTCGTCATGCCTATAAAGTTTAAGAATCAAATGGATGTGTAATGTTTAAAATATAGAGTTGAAGGAGAGACACTCCCAAATAGCGTAAAAAACATGTAAGATCTTTTTTATGTAATAAAAAATATGTAAGAAAGAGAGAGGAGGAGTTTACGCGCTTGCTCTTCGTCTGATAAGCTATAAAAGGGACTCATTTAGTCATGTCTTTAGCAGAAAACCCCCTACGACTCTCTCTCTGTCTCTGTCTCTGTCTTCGTATTAAGTCTTTAATCCTCTGTTCTCCAAATTATGTGTCGTGTAAGTTGTTCGAACCCCAGCAGATTATGCGGCGACGACGATGAAGTTGCTTACCTTACCTCAATTAATCACTCTTTGAAGCCTTCCAATATGCATTTTACAAACCCTTTGATCCCTCAGCCCCCGACATCCCAACAAAGCCACCATAAACCAACCAAACAAATTGATACCCATTTCTCCTTGGCCCTTGGAGAGGCCTTTTCCATCGCCCAAATCGCCTTCCCCATGATCCTCACCAGCCTCCTCCTCTACTCCCGCTCTCTCATTTCCATGCTCTTCCTCGGCCGCCTCGGCGAGCTCTCTCTCGCCGGCGGATCCCTCGCTATCGGCTTCGCCAACATCACCGGCTACTCCATTCTCTCTGGCCTCGCCATCGGCATGGAACCCATCTGCGGACAAGCCTTCGGCGCCAAGAAAT